GCAGAACAGGTTAAGTGAATGCAAAAATAATTTTATACATTTTTGGCAAGTTCGCGAATTTTTAAATGCAATTTCTTGAAAAAAATGCCCAAACGCTCTACAACAAACGTTCAACATCTGAATTTCATGTATTTTCCGTGTACATGTTTACAATAAGTTTGGGCGAGCAGAGAACTTCCGGAATGCAAAAGTACCGCATTAAACATGTTGAAAATTACACGGCCTATGATGGAGAACTCTTTACAAACAACAACGAATGAAAAAAATTATTTTAATCTTCAGCAAGCTGCGGCTCGTAACTTTCACCGTGTAATTCACTTAAACAATTAGGTTAATTGAAATCTCCAGAAAAGAAAAACCTTGACGTTGCTTGAAAAAATTGACTTCGGCTTCAGGGGTTACTTTACTACTACTTGATTTCCTTTTCATAATACGAAAGAGAATCAAAGAAAACATCTGCGTAGTCCATTAGCTTTCTAAATCACGATCCGCATCCTGGCTCATGGGGTATACGAAGCATAAAGAAAAAGATTAATTTTCTAGAGCGTTCAAGTATTTTCTCTTATAAAAGTGTTAAGTGTCGTATTGTGTGTAAATCACAGCTAGATAATAATTTCGGGAAAAGAATATTAAAACTCTAAAACGTAAATTTGCATTGATCTCAAAACCTAATTGGAATTCCACTTTTATTTCCCTATGGCGAGATAGCGATCTTGCTCGCTTTCACGTAATCAAATGAATAATTTTAATTGCGTTTCCCACATCGCGCAATACGTAAATATGCATTAAGGTATAATCCGGAGTTTCAAATACAGTCTCGTAACACTAATTAAGTGCTTTTAATGAACACTTGCGAATGGCTGGGATCTTCCAGCATTACCGTTTTTTTAAAAGGCCGCTCCCCTTTTTTACGCCACTGCGTGATATTTTCCTAGAATCCTTTAAGTGTAAATATATCACGGAGTTTTCCTCACTCGCTGGCGATTTTCACTTCGGGGTAATTGAGTATAGCTCCGATTTTCCTAAAATGGCGACGTAGTTCAGAGATACGGGTGGAATAGACGCAACGGCTTATTAAATATTTGCATATTGATTTTATTTCCGCACTTTTCTTTTAGCCAGCTAAAAGATTTATTCATCGGGATCACGAACCATTGTGATATGTGTAATGTCTGCATGATACTTTGTACTATTATGGCTAATACGAATATTTGACGATAAATGACTATTCGTTTTCAGTAGTCCTATGAGGCATCTGGTAAGTTGGTCCCTCATTTATACTCGTAATTGTAATCTCACTTTCACTATGAGGAGTCGGAAACCGCCAGAGATACAGAGCCGCTTAAATAGGCAAAGTTATGCAGAATTTTATGGTGATTAATTTTCCGTTTTAAAGTTTCTTGTAAGTCTACAAATACCGAAGTAATGGCCAAAAATCCGTAAAATGTCATTTTAGAGAATGCGTTGGTGTCTATTTAATTTCAAAAAATAAATTTAACAAAACCTTGGTGAATTTTTTTCAACTGTCTGACTGTGCTTAAAAAATTGTTATGACTCATAAAATATTATGTTTTTCAATCAAGTCGGATATTGCAGCCATCAACGGCTTTTGAGGTCGATTTTAGTTCATTCAAGATCTCTTCTTTTATTCTTTATAGCACCATCATATATATCAGCAGTGCATCAAAATTCAAATGGAAACCTCATCTATCCATCTGCATCTGGGCTCCTTAGTTATTGTTACAGAAAATCGTCTGCCTCTTCTTCGATGTCGCATCATCCACATGCATTCCGGTAGTGACAACATAAAACGAACGACGAATGAATATGTTATTATTCTTTAGAATCTTTATCATAATTCGCATCTAATCTGATAATATACAGGTTTGCGTGCGTAACCTAAGAGTAAATGTCGGCGTACGTGATCGGTTACGAAATGGCATTTTGCAAACAACAACGGCCAATCTGCTCAATCTCCCATTAAATATGTATACACTTGTAGGCCATTTTTATACTGTTTCAGGTTCACCGGCAAGGACACTGGTAATTTTCCAGCAACGCTTTTTTTATATTATGCGACCTACCCCAAGGGTAGCCTCGTTCAATTATCTCCGTGATAACGTAATAAATAAAAGATATACCTACTTCGGTTTACTTTGTGGCTCTAGGGAAAACAAGAAAACGAAATACCCTCAGTGGGCAATCGCGAACTTTCATTTCCCGTCGAAATTGCGCCAAGTCTCTGTTTTTGCGAAGCGATTTATTGAATTCGAATTAAACGTCGACCTCAATTGTTCCCTGTGAAGATATTCTTCCATTCCTTCGTTTTGATTGAATTGTGGCAATTTATAAATCACTAAAAAATGCACGCACTTTCTTGCTGTAGTACAGGCCTACCACTACGCGGAGGTCCAGTCGTTTTAGGAGCTCACTCACAAATTGGACGTTGGAGCATCTTATTTTATTTGATTTCCTAAAATTATTACTGCACACAGGCCATTAGTGTGGGTTTATTAACGCCCATATTTAATAGTATATTAAGATACAAGTGTATAATCAAGTCTTTAAAGCACGCGCAACGAGTTTAAGGGC